GGGAATAACAGTCCAGGCGAGTGCTGAGTGAATACAGATATCGTGGAGAACATTCCACAGTTAGGTATGGTGCTTGGGTGCACCAAAGCTCGCAGGTGAAGGCGTAGCTGCTTCCAGCTGATATTTTTGTCATCAGTGTGGCTCTATGGTCTGTCCACTAGGGGTACTGAATCATTTTTAAAGGTATTCAAGTGTAGGCATTTGAAACTAAATAGTCTTAAAGATAGATTCTTGGATCTGTATTTGTACCTAGAGGTGTGTGCATCTGAATTTGGGAAGGGCTTTTAGCACTTACGTGGGCAACCTAATGTCTTTTACTCAGGTGAGGAATCCTAAGGATGTGACTGACACCTTTGTACCATTTGAAGGGGCTGTTTCATGGTGGAGGGGCTGGGGGGTTATACTGATCGTTAGTTTCCAGAATGCAAGTAAAGGGGAGGGGAGAAAAAAAAAAAGAAAAAAGCCCCAATGCTGTATTTTATGGATGAACTAGAACAAAGGGCTGACAGAGCTGCGGGCTCACCTCCCTGAGAAAAGATTCTCTTCTATACAATGAAGCAAATTAGCAGGCCAGGTACAAAATCTCCTTTCCGATGACAAAACGTGGCTGCATATGCACATGGTCCTGTACCTACATCCCTGTGCTTGCCTAGGAAGGGCACTTAAGAAGAGCTTTCCTTGGAAGGGCGAGCTGGGTCAGCCTTTGTCACTTCCAGGGGCAGTGCTGAAAGTATGGCTCTTGAGCAAGGTCGGTAACTGAACATACGAGTCTTTCCAGCTCCCATCGCTGTCTTGCAGGCTCTACTGTGAAGAAGAAAAAGATCCTAAGCGGCGGTCGTGTCAAACTGTGCTAGCAGAGGCTTTAGACATCGTCGTCCGATCCTTTGCACCAATACTTCCTCACTTGGCAGAGGAGGTTTTCCAGCACCTCCCTTATAAGAAAGGTAAAGCATGTATCATTTCTAAGGAGTTCTTTTAGTGCACTGTTTAATTGCACAGTTAAAAAGAATGCAAATACAGAGATGTGCCATTCTTTTTTATTCATTTAATAAGCACTTGAATAGGAAGACACTAAATTAAAAACTGCTTTGTTTGCTTTGCTTTCCATACTCAGAGGGTGTGTTTCGTACCGGCTGGATTAATGCAAGCTCAGCGTGGAAGAAGCCTGGCATTGAGGAAGCAATAGAAGGTGCATGTGCAATGAGGGACTCTTTCCTTGGGTCCATCTCTGGCAAGAATGCTTTGGAATATGAAGTTGTCATTGTAATTGAGCCTGGACTGATGTTTGAATTAATGGAGGTAAAGGATGCAACTAAGAATACTGTTGTGAATACTGTTGTCTGTGCGAAAAACACTCATTTTTGTAAACTTTCTTCTGCTTTTTACTTGCCAGAAAAATCACAGACTAGTTGAGGTTGGAAGGGGCTGGTGGAGAGGGCAGAGCCCAAGCCCCTTGCTCAGACAGGGCCAGCTAGAGCAGGTGGCCTAGGGTTGCGTCCCGTTGGGCTCTGAATACTCTGGAGGATGGAGACTCCACACCTCCCCAAGCTCTGTGCCAGTGTTTGAGCACCCTCACAGTAAAACAGTGGGCTTGTGCTTGCTTGGAATTTCCTCTTTCAATTTCTGCCTGTTCCCTCTTGCCCTGTCACTGAAAGTACCTGGCTCCATCTTCGTTACACCCTCTCCTCAGGTATTTATATACATTAATAAGACCCCCCTGAGCCTTCTCTGCTCTGGGCTGAGCCATCCCAACTGTCCGCCTCTCTTTGCATGTGAGGTGTTCCAGTCCATCGTCTTCATGGCCCTTTCTTGAACTCACGCTGTAAGTTCACATCTCTCTCTTACTGGGGAGCTCAGAACTGGACCCAGCACTGCAGGTAATTCTCACCAGGGCTGAGCAGTGAGGAGGGATCCCAATGCAGGATGCTGCCGGCCTCCTGTTGTGAGAGCGTGTTACTGGCTCAGGGTCAGCTGCTCGTCCCCCAGGACCCTCTCTGTGCTAAGCTGCTCTCCAGCCAGCTGGCCCTCAGCGTGTGCCGGTGCCAGGGGCAGGACTGGGTGTCTCCCTTCACTGACCTTCACGAGACTGCTGCTACCCTGTTCCTCCATCCTGCCAATGCAGGATGCTGCCGGCCTCCTGTTGTGAGAGCGTGTTACTGGCTCAGGGTCAGCTGCTCGTCCCCCAGGACCCTCTCTGTGCTAAGCTGCTCTCCAGCCAGCTGGCCCTCAGCGTGTGCCGGTGCCAGGGGCAGGACTGGGTGTCTCCCTTCACTGACCTTCACGAGACTGCTGCTACCCTGTTCCTCCATCCTGCTGAATCAGCCGCTCCTCCAAGCACTCTTTCACCAGCAAACTTGCCAAGGGGCCACTGCCCCGTCCGTCCCGGTTATTAATGAACATGTTTAATAGTACCGGACCCCAGAGCTCCACCACTAGCGAGGCCTCTAGCTCCGGCCTCCTTGAGAAGGCCTGTTCTAGCGCCACGGGCAGTGCTCTTCCAAAGCAACCGGCTTCCTTGATGGGAGGGTCAAGGAACTCAGAAGTTCCTGCAGAGGGAACCTTGGGCACTGCCGTTCAAGTCTGTACTCTTACACCTGGCAGGAGTAAGTGAATTAGACTCTTGGTTCGAATCATCCACTCCCAGTAGGAACCACGGCCTTAGCACTTGTTCTAAGGAAGGGAGTTTGCAGTGGTAGACCTGAGTTTTGATGCTGGGTTTAAACACACATATGTGCATATATTTAGACACACAGAGGCATGCACATGTGTGAAAAACTTGTGCTTTTTTTCATGACAAGGCTATGACAGCTGTTGCAGTCACATACGCGGTAATTCTACTTTTGCTTGGAGATTTTCTGGGATGCTGAGGAACAAAACCAAGTTGCAAGTCTGAAAATTAACTCTCTTCCCTAGGCACTGCAGGCTGAGGAAACTTCTAGTGTTTCAGAGCTGAATGAAATAATGATGGCTTCCCAGACAACCCTGCTGAGTGAGCTACCTAAAGAAACACCTGCAGATGCAAACATCATCAAAGGGACCTTTCTGATTAACTTGGAAGGTAAGAAAGAGAACTCTTCCGGGCAGGCTACTGTGCTAAGCAGCCGGTCCTCTTCTGCAGTACAACAGACGTTGCTGTTTACCGCCTATGTAGCGCTGAGCACGCCAACTGCACCGGCAGGCTCTCGGCAACACTGCTGTCTTTAACAGGGGGTGACATCCGTGAAGAATCTTCCTATAAAGTTATAGCCCTGCCCATTGCCAAAGCAAAATGCCCTCGCTGCAGGAGATACACTTCCGATTCCTCCAGCACTCCCTGCCCACGGTGCCTGAAAGTCATGGCTGGAAGAGGGAGCACGTGAGGAGGCAATGCCTGTGCACAAGCTGCTCCAGTGACAAGTGCTGAAGTATGCAAGAGCGATGGCTACCAGGTCTGTGTACCGAGGCTTGTAGAAGCAGAAGCTTAAGCCGCAGCCTGAGCAGAACTACCACCTGTTTGGGGGGGAGAACCTTATGTATATACCTAATTGTGTATATACCTAATTGTGTATATCACTTTTCAGCTTAATAAAAAGGGTGGTTCAAAATAACTGACTGATACGCTTGTTTTTAGCAAGTTCTTTTGAAGTTCACTTCCTTTTAAGTGAAACTCCACAGTAAAGCAGCTCTTGTTTAATTTTTTTATACTATGGAACCCCAGAGAACCAGTCCTCCCTACACTGGCATGTCTACTCCTCTTGTGAAACAGAACAGGAGAAAAGGCAGTGACCACCATTCCCTAAAAAGAAAAGACACAATGAAACCTCAAATTTTATTTAATCAATTTACACAAATCCACAGCAAATTAGACACAAAATAGCACTATATACAGAGTATTACTTACAATACATTACAGATTTGATTGGTGTAGTGTGTCAGCTCTGACATGATACTCAGTTACAGTCAAACCCTCTCCACTGTACCAGGATCCAGGAATGTAATGCAACTAAGAAACAGTTTTGCTTTTCCTCAGGTTCTGCGATGACCAACTCTCTAGCGTACTCATTGCTGCAGAAGTCTGAAGTGCTCTCAGGCAGGGTGGTAAAGTCACCTACACCATCTCACCGCCTTCCATTTTCCCCCTACAGCTCTTTTAACTGGGTATGGAAGTACCTAAAACAGACCAGGGCCAGCTATTTATTTTTACATGAATTCTTGCTAGTCTTTATTCTGATCTCATATCACTGCACAAGTCAGCATCACTGTTGAAGTCAAACATTTAGTATCAAAACTTGTCAAGAAGCCTTCACCAGCTACATTAAAGTACAGTGATTGGGAACTAGGGGTGCTGAACAGGTGAAGGAGGCTGTATAGAACAAGCCACCTACATAACCTTTTCTCTTTTTTAGGGGGATTCTAACCCTTAGGTGACAGCAGCACATACTTCAGAAAGATAAGAAAATTCTGTCTCCAGCAAGGCAAGATACTACAAATGTTTCTTACATATAATGCAAAAAGAGCAGGTTACAAGATGGAGCTAGTAATTTCAGCTGACTTCAAGACAAACACAGTTTACACCAATTTCATTTCTCTCTCCTGGCTTCCTTTAGGTAGAAAGTAAACAGTACTAACTGATGCAAGATAATCATGTTTAATACCACTCCAATAGTGAAGATACTCACTATATGATTCCCCATAGGTACTGTAAATAATAAAAGTGGTTTTTTAAGGCTAAAGTACTCAGTACTATAGGTCTTCAGTGAAGTTGGGTCAACTATTTAAGCAGTTTTTGACTACAGGTTACCATGTGCAGAGATTTATAGCATACTATATGTTCTACAGTGATAAGATGAGGGAACAATCTTACAGTAAGACATTCCTTGACCTACTTAAACTCAGCGGAGCTTAGTAATAAAGGAGAGGGATGTAAATCCAGTTTTGGCTGAAGCCCAGCACCCTAGAGACAATCCCGGGAGATCTGGAGAATTGGCTTCTCCTTCCCAAGCTGTTTCTAACGTGGGCTGTTCTCCCTTTGCGTAAGGCCCCAGCACGTTTCATCCTGTCTAGTGCAGTTGTCATTGTCACGTATAATGCAGTTACAAGGCCTGAGCCCAACGCCAGCTCTAGCTTCTAAAAAGCAGTACTGGCTTTACACAGTAACTTCAGAGACTGAAGTTTTTCTCGGGTGTAATTCTACCGCTTGTTTTGAAAAACAAATCATACATGGAACATTGAAACCGCAGCAGTTACTGCCAGCATGAAATACAGAATTTTACAAGATGTGATTTTGTAAATAATAGACTAAAACTGTTGTCAAATATATCCAATTTAGACTACCGCAACAAGCACTCAAGTCAGAAATAAATAACAAAGCATTTCAAATACTGACAAGTGTACTAGAAACTAAACAGCTTTGTACTAGTGCAGAATTTAAAATCTACTCCAATTTAAAACTGCCTTCTGAAATTCTGGGAGGGGGAGCATTGTTCCTTTTGTTGTTTAACAAGCGCCGCATGGAAGCTTCTCTCTGTCAAGTTCAGCCTCACGGTGTAAAACCGTGCCTCACGCCTCTGCGTAGCCCCGCTGCGCTAGCCAGGAGTGTCACGACGAGATGGCTTCCACAGCCTCTATCAGGTTCAAGGCAAGGCTGTACTGCCCGTGGTTCTCCGGTAAGTGCTCTAGGACTTTGTTCACCAGTTTAGCTGTCGTTGCAATTGGCACTTCCACATTTTGAAGTTCCTGGGGGTCCTGTATAAAAGAAGAAACACAGGATTAGAGTAATTTTACAGATGATCATCTGCATTAAGCCCTCCTGAACTTGTATCAAACAGATTACACCAAGGCTCATTAACTCAATTAAGCTGATGCTTTGACCCATGAAACTGCTTTACCTTCACAAAAAAGAACTATCACCAGGAAAAACAAGAACAAATTCTTGTTGTTTCCATTAGTAAGAAAGGACCATTCAGGTGTAATCTCTGTCTTGGTGAACAGAAGCTTCTGAAAAATCAACCTGTTTTCCTAAATCAAGCTTAACAAGGACCATTCAGGTGTAATCTCTATCTTGGTGAACAGAAGCTTCTGAAAATCAACCTGTTTTCCTAAATCAAGCTTAACTTACCATAGCTTTGAGCCAAGTACAGAGCGTTGGAGGAAGCCTAGCGAGAAGTTCCATACCCTCCTTTGTCTGCATATGAAGTAAAGCAAAGGCCAGTCTCTGTCCAGCCAGTACGAGCAACTGTGACGCCAGCACTTCTTTGTCAGCCACCAGAAGAAAGGCCTGAGAACAGAAAAACACAAGGAACTAGAAACTATTTCAGCGTGACACAGCTCACATAGCTGGAGGCTTGAAAAGCGGTGTCAAAAGAAGCTTCATGATATTAAAAGGACGCTCGAGACTTTCTTGGGTTACCTGTGACTGTAATAAAGCACATTATTAAGAGCTTCAGAACAGCGGAAGGGTGAACAAAGGCAGAGAATTACTCTGTACTTTACACAGTGATTAGCATGAGCACGAGATCTGTTTTACAGTTCAGCAATATATTCCTAACTTCCATCTAATCTCGTTTGCTTTTCCCCTCAAGAAAGGGAAGGAGTTTGTCCAAGGACTGGCAAACTTTTCCTAAAAGAAGAGATTACAGGCAGAACAGCAGATTCCTGAAAGTATCAAATATAGTTAAATAAAAAAGGCTGTACTGTTTTAAACTGATACCGTAAGTCCCCATCCTGTTTCCACTAGTTGCTATACACAGATTCTTGTTAGGAAGAAAGAAAAAATGAGGGTAATTATTGGTCTTGGAAAAAGTACTGTTCCAGCCTCTGATTTTTTCAGCCTGGAGATTTTTTGAGCCTGGTAATACTTGCCTAACCCTTCCAGGCATCTTCAGTAAGTGAAAAAGTAATTTTAGCAGGGTAACTGACATAATGCTGTACTGATCTAAAATCATTAAAAGCGGTTTTATTACCTCTTCACCAAGATGATCCATCCCATAACTGTACAGTTCACAGACATAATGCCTTCTGACCACATCCTCAGAGATTTGAAGATACAAAGCCAGGTCCACTGCCAAAGTTGGCCAATTCTTCCCCTTTTCAAATGGAAACAAGTCCTCTTCCGAGACTTCTTTGGCCTTTTGCGATGAACACAGCGTTTGAACCGCTGCACTCACAACTTTGGCCAAGAACTTGGAAGCAAAAGTTGCAGGTTACTTCAGTGTTGTTTGCAATTTTAGAAGTTTAAGAACTTTCTGTACAAACCTTATACTGACCTGTTGTCTTATGGATGACACATTTGGATCCATATCCCCACTAGGTAGCAGCTGAATTGAAGTAAGGTCTTTGAAAAATGCATTTTTGCCCTAAAATTGAGAACCAAAGACAGGCCTCAGAGATACAGGGGAATACAAGTCATCCAATCTTGATCCAGTACTAAGAAGTCTACTTATTTTTTACATTTAATTTGTATTGCATCTTCTCTTTGAGGACAAAAATTAATACTGTAAGTTAAAGCCAGAGAACAAAACAAACTTTTGTTTATGCGATAACAACATGTCAAGGATTTGCTTTCAAACTTAAAACCACCTCCTACTAACTTAGGTAGCTGATATACTACCAGCTGGAGCTGAAGTCTGGATGTATTTCCTGGTGCTGGGCTCTAGGCCAACATACCAAGCATACGTATGAAGAAATGCAAACTAGCTGCTACAAAAATACATTTTGTCTACTACTAATTGATATAGTTGATACTGCTTAATTTTAAGGTCTCCTGAACTACAGATGAACCAAATTCCAGGTAAACCCCTGAACAACGGCACATGGTAGCCCCTGTTTCAGCCCCCTATGCTCCAGCAGCGACATACTCCCTGCCAAGCATCTGTGGCAGTCCCGCTCCGTACTAACGCGAGGAGGAGGGAAACTAGTACCGAAAAAATGCCCATGTTAAAAGACAGTGATGAATTTGTAGGTCTGCACAGTGACTTGCCTTATCAGAAATGAGGTTATAAATGGTCTTTGGAAAAAAAAAGCAACCTTTTAACCACTTTTTCAGTCGTCAGTCAAGATTCACTAAAGACCTGCTAGAAATTCTCTCATAAAGCTTACAGAACAAAAAGAAGTCTTGAGTGAGTGAAGGCAAAAAGGCAGTGGCTGAGAATAACAGCTGTATGTACAAGAAAGGAGGCGCAGGGACAGGATCTAGTTTCACTCGAGACACAATATGCATTCTTACATGACAAAAGGTGGTGTAACGCGTTCTGCTAACAGATAAGCAAAAAAAGGCATAGAAACAATGGAATTTGATCCATGGTAAAATGCTAAAACCAGACCCAACTTCATCAGAGCTTGGACATAGACAAGAACCTATGACAAAAGGAGAGTAATATTCTGCATTTACAAAATTCTAGTAAATGATTAAGAATAAATCTGCACAGTATTACAGGACTAAATGATTTTCTCCCCAGCAGGAAACAAATGACAGTCTACACTAGTACTTTGTGTTTAAATTTTTTTAAACTTGTAGTGTGGTAAAGCTAGGAGGAGGAAAGCTCAATTTGTGGTACCTGCTTTGTACCAGAGTCAAGCTCTGAGTGGACACACTGCATTTTAAATGCAGTGACCTCTTTTTTTTTTTTTATTAGCGGTTTATAGGCACTAAATGACAAGCTGTTTATTCTTTTTGGGATGCTCAGAGTTCTGCAATAATCATCAGCAGTAACAGATACAACAGTGACACTAACAACATTTCCAACCTTAAATATTTATGTTTTCTCTGATCTGGCACTTCTCAAAACAGCTAGAAAAGCCTGTCATCCGGTGTTCTTACCATGCAGTATTTTCAAGACAGCTCATTATTAAGGAGCTGATTTTCCTGCATCTGAGGTCACTACAAATCTTTTATTCCTAAACAAAGGCACCAAGTTTGGGTCTCAGCCTGAATTCTGGTGACAACTTCAGTAATGCACCACAGTGGACTAAACGTCTTTCATAAAGTTATGCATGGCCTGTTCAGAAAGTGAAAGCTAGAATATGTTATAGGTACCAAGAGGAAGGACAGCAATATTAAATTGTATGCTTTCAAAAGACATACCTTGCTATCAAACAGCGAAAGAGGCTTCACACTCTTCAGAGAAAACCTCATGATGGCATATAAGATGGTACATAACACAAACTGGTGTTCAACAAGTGGGTAGTGAATGCGTTTCTGCTCAAGAGCTAGTTCCACTATCGATACTGGTCCTTCTACCGACACCCACGCGTCTTCGGTATCCAAGACAGGAGCCTGCATTTCGTCACTACTGACGTCAGCCTGCCAGAGCAGCACAGAAAAGTAGTCACGCACACAGCGCCCTCTGTATTGGCCTTCTACGCAAGAGACAAGGCTTTAATCAAGTTCTCTGCAGTGGAATTCCACAGGAAGTTTCACATGGTCTAGGAGTTCATTAATATTTGTCTGAACTGAACAGTACAGAAGTTGGTATGACCACATTCTTTAAAATTAAGTTTGAATCAATTAGTTCCTTACTTTCTATGGGAAAAATAAAAAATTTACCTCTAGCAATGTTTGCAGAAGATCTGAACAGCAGCCAAGAAAAGCTGTCATTGCTGTGTCACTCATACCTACGTCCTGTTAGCAAACAGTACGATTTAAATTGTTTCAGTTGGAATTGAAACAGGATTTTATTAGCTCTGGGTGTTTGAAAAGACAGTTGTTGACAGAAAACGCATTGTTAAGCTCAGTTTAACAACCTATTACATTTAAAGGCAAACAAAGATTCACGAGAGTACAACAAAGAATTAGAAATAACAGAGGGGAAAATAGGAATAAAGCGAAGTGTAGCCATTTACAATACCGTATCTCTAAAGAAGAATTCCTCAAGTAATTACACCAGTAAATTTAATTGTCGGAGCATATCAGTTGTCTTCCAGAAAAGTTTTAAATAATGAAATTATGCATGACAAATAGTAGTAATTTGTCATGTTATAGTCTCAAGTCCACCTTCGATGATATTCACTGTTATACTACCGTCCTAAATTTGCTTTGTCAGAGAAAGATCAATTTACATTTCTTAAAATTCATAACATTTTCTCTAGGGGTGCATTTTGAATTTTTCTGAAACTTTCAAAACCAAATCACAAATTAGTATTAAAATTAAGGCATTTTTATTTACTTCCTATTTAGACAAAAAGTAGTATTACTTGCCCGTCTGCATAACCTGTCCTTTGGAGCTTTTCCAACCTGTTTAAAAAAAAAAATCAGCACAATTAAATAATTTTCATCATAAGGTATCTGCTACCCCACATTTTAACCTTTTATTACTATTTTCCTAATTTAAAATGAGAAAATAGTTCACTACAGCTACATAAGGCAACACGTTGCATAGCTTGCTTTCACCAGAAGATTTGATACAGATCATACAACTCAGAAATGAACATCACTGATGCCCATATTTAGTTCATCCTTCTTAAAGTCTAGGACTAGAAATAAGGCCCCAAGGTCCTCATTCAAATCTCAAAAGCAGCTTAAAAATTCCCAGGGATTTCTAAAATACAGAACTAGAGCTGTAATACCAAGGGTGATGTTAGAAAGAAACACTCAGGAACAAGGGGAGAAGAAAGGAAGAGTGAATGCTCCAGCATATTCAAGGAGATGGAGAAGGTCTAACAAGAAAGTTATTTCACGGTTTCCATGCTTTGCCTATCTGAATTCTTCAGGAGAGACACCTCAATCATACCCTGTTTAGGAACGTTACTATGAGGTCCAATTTCTACCAGTTGAATCACATGCTGCATATGATGAAGCACACACACACACCAGTGGAAGATCTCTCTTCTATAGCACAAAAAAATGAAAGGAACGATTACAACATCACAGCCGAGTCTAACCAACAGCTGAAATGAGATTCCAGGGCCCTAAATTAAGGTATTATTTGAACTTAGGTCAAGTGATCCATCATGCTGTTTCAAAGGCTGAATTCAAGACAACTTTCAGCTGTCAATTTTGGGACTGATTAAGCACCCACAGATCTGGAAACACTATTTTTCCAGAAGCTGATGAGAGATCAAGTTGTGCTGCTCCTTCTATAACACAAACGCTAAGGACTAATTTCCAGCTTTCCAACATAAATAAATGCCTATCAAATGTCAGCAACATTTGTTATTACATGATATTTGCTTGAGGTAACAGATGTGTGCAAAAACAGTTAATAAAACCCTAAAACCTTTATCTCTTCTCCTGCGGGTGTTAATCTAGGCAGAAGTAATGGTGGTGGATTTACACAAAGGCAAGCAGAAAAACTGGAGAAGAGTTTTTGCAGAAGAAACATCTACTACAACTGTACACAACTGAGCCTATTTGCTGAAAGGAACGAGGAAGATGATATTCTCCAATTCTTACAGAGCTAAACAAAAAGCAAAAGCAGAAAATAAGAGGAGCAAAAAGGAAAAAAAGACAATGAGATGGCAAATTCTTGTGGGGTTTGTGTTGGGGTTTGTTGTTGTTTTGTTTTTTAAATCACCATCAACACTTCCCTCTCTGCATCTGGACTTTTCCACTGAAAACCACTTAGCTGGTGCTCTTCATCCGGCAAACCAACAGGCAGAGCCCCCTTACACAATTTAAGCAGATCTACCACTTCCTGGCAGTACTCTTCCTAAACTGCCTTCCAGTCCTAGACAGAACTGTCTTCCAGTAAACACATCCACTGCATATTTATAAGCATGAAAAAAACTGAAGTTTAGCAGGGACAAAAGATGGCTAAAACTCACAGCAAACAAGCTGCATACGAGAACAGACGCAGATTTACAATGGTAGCGATAGTTAAAAGCGGTTTAAAAATAAGTTTCACTTTTCAGTTAATAATAAAAATTCAGCCTCAAAAATACTGTGCCAATACTGCACTCACCTTGTCCATTAGATACGTAGCAGAAGAAAGTCTTTTAACTATGAATGTATTCCACATCATCAGCGCGATACCTAGAACAATCGCAAACTTGTAAACTAAAGGGAACAGGAAAAGGGATCTTACAAGTATGGAGCGAAAAGCCACGGGCCAGAGTTCATTTAACGGTGCGGGGACTAAAGAGACACGGTGAATGAAACAAGAAGGAATTGTGAATTATCCTCACTGACTTATACTTGGACCTTACAGTTCAGATTTCTCTGGAGGAGACTACCTCGGTGGTCAAATGCAGTCAGAAGTGCAATGAATCATCCGTTAAAATGATTACATTGTGCAGACTGGGTTAAACATTGTAGGTAGACAGGAACTGTGGCGGTAAACATGAAAGTTTAAGACTAGTGCTTTAGGCATAGAGTGTATCCTATCTGCATACATAAACAGTCTACAAAAAAGACAACTGTCATCACATTCACTAAAACAGAGCATCAAGAAACGCATGAAATGTAATTCTATTTAAATACACAAAAAACCCAGCTTCAGAGCAATTTTATTTTAAAATGTTTTTTTGTTAAACACATTAACTTTATCTGACCAACTTATTTTCATGGTTCTGGTGGAAACTCAAGTTTCAACATGAAAAAAACAAAAGCTTGAATGTCAGCAGAAAGTGGGGTTTCAGGGGTTTTTCAGACAGAAGGGCTATCACTACTACGAACTGCATGCATTTACACTGGTTGGCACACAGTCATTTAGTTGGTTGTTTTAGAATTTCAACAAATAGCTTCACACTCACCATGCTGAACGTGAGCATTCACGATACATCTTAGATGATCTATAGACCTAATGAGAAAACATGCTTCCTTATGTAAAACAAAAAAGTAGAAGAACAAGTTACTACATTATTCAAAACTTGTCTAAAACTGTTGATTCTTAAAGGGCCCATGTAGATTATTTTAAAGCTCTTTTTTTGACAGTTACAAAACTTGTAAGTTACTCTGATATTGCAATCTCCTCTGCTACTATCTGAAAAACATACATGCACGTGGCGAAGTATGTAATCATGACTGTGATTCCAGCGCTATTTTCAGGGCTTTGTTTTAGTATAGGTACTGCTAACGCACTCTTTGCTGAAAGGTACCTCCACTTACTACAGTAATTTTTCAAATACAAAATCCACTTGTGCTAGAAAGATTAATCTTTACTCCATTTCATTATGATGGAGCAAGTTTTTAACAATCTCAAAGGAACCTTCTGTTCTATAGCAAGGTGTTATGCTGCACAGACCTAAGGTGTGCCAATTTCAATTTTATTATCATTTGAGCTTAGGACAATGGTTTCCAATATTACAGAAGCTATATGACAGCAGTGGAAAAAAGGAATTTTTCTTTTTTCCTCTCTCCTCTGACAATTCTCAGCGGTGGCCAGAGAATCTAAGAATATTCAAGAAATCCCTCTTTCCTCTTTACACGGAATGGATTCTAGTCTAACAAATTTAGTATTCTGTGACTGTTTCAGCATATCTAGAACAGAGGAAAGGTTCATCACTGTTTCGCGGTACTTAAACCAAATACAGTCAAAACCCTTCTTCCTGCTGCTTATTGGAATCCGGTTTCCACACATCCAGTTTTGAGAATCTGATGGCTTAGAAACACACAGACCTGTCTTTGAGGTGCCATTCAGCCTCAGGGCCTGCATTCATTTTCTCAACTCAATTTCTGCTTGCCACTTATCACAGAAAAATCGTAACTAGTAGGCTTGGAAAGTCAGTCTTCTTAACAAAAGGTTTTATGAACTACTACAGACTTGTGAAACTGCTTCTAATGAGCAGTCTTCACCATTACTCCCCGTAAATGAAATTCTTTTACCTCTGGGTCCTTATTCCACTGCACTACATATTCCCAACAGCAATGTGCATGGAGTACATCCACTTCAAGACTACATGGAAATTGCTGATACGCTAGTTGCAGCAGCTCTAGAAACAGAAAATCTGAAGTTAAGACAGACCTCTTCCTGCTACAGTTTCTGCTACTTCGCAACAGCAGTAACTGAAACGTTTCTGCAGACACTTAGAACTCCAAAAAAAAAAAATCAAGTAATTTTCTTACCTAGGATTGTTTCCAAGCCTGCATCTGCTTCTGGTTCCTCAAGAAAGATGTTTGTATGCATTTCTACAGATTCTTCAGTACTGTCTGTACTGTTTTTATGTTGGGCCAAATTCAGTACAAGAGGACTGAAGCCTTGCTTAAAAACCCACTTTGCTACAGTGTCAGCAATGCCTCCTAGGACATTTAAAAAAAAGACGTATAGAAGTATGAGATATGGTCAATGTATCCCAGAAGATTTATGGTTCAGAATCGAAGGACAAGAGAAGAGATATGAGTTTTAACTACCACCATTAATTACATAAGGAAAACTCTACCAGTTAGAAAACTTCCTAATCAACTGATTAGAGGTTTACAAGGCAGTCTTTACAGTAACACCCTTTTACAGTTTTAAAGGGGTATTCTACATGGTTTGCATTGGGTTTTAAATCAAGAAAAGTAACCAGCAGAACAATTTCCAGTACAGTGTATATCATTAAGTAGGTAAGGATAGCTCAGAAGTCCATTAGAAAGACAATCAACCATCTTTCCAAGAGAAAAATATGTACCTTTTCCAGCTTCAAGCAACTTCTTTACAGAAAGTCTGCCCAAAGGCTCAGTCTGGAGTGATGAAACTCTTTTTGTCCTTTTGCTCACTTTGCTATGCAGTAGTGTTTGAAGTATCAGACAATCCTCCAACTGCTTCAGCAAAAGTTTCCAATACTCAGTATCAAGGGAAAGTGCTTCCCAGGATTCCGTGTCTGAACCTACAATTATTTGGGAAAACTAACAGAACATATGAACTGTTTTAGGTCTGTTCACTTAAAGTAGCACAGTTTTCTTCAAAAAATGCATAGCATTAAAATTGAAAGCTATATCCCAAGAGCTACATCATTTTAAAGATAATTTAGTCCAGAGTATGTACATTAGCTACTGTGCAAAGATCAATTAATATCCCACACTGCTCACAAGACACACAGATTCTTAAATAAAAGCCTAAGGAAATAAACGGACCTAAAAGGTTTTTTTGGTTGAAAAGTGGGTTAGAATCCCTTCAAAAAGATTTAATTTTAAATCCTCCACTATATACACATTCCCTACATATATGACTAATCCAACTACATTTCAATTTCCTTCCCTATTAAAAAAAATCTATATTATGCACTCAGAAACACTGCATCATACCACATCGCAGCTCTGTGCATTATTTTGATAACTCTTGTGTTTATCAGCAAATCCTCTGCCAGGAAGCCCAAGAATCTTTCTGGCAGAGTACAGATCTGATTTTTTATCTTTGTGCACCAAGACAGCAAACTCTATAGAGTTCTCAGAATCCTGGCCATTAACACTTCCAGGCTTTAATCCAAAGGATCGGGGCAGAGGCGGGGGGGCAGGGGGGGAGAGATAAATGGCTTTATGGAAGGGAAGTTCTTTGTTGGGCCAAATTCAGTACAAGAGGACTGAAGCCTTGCCTAAAACCCCATTTTGCTACATTGTCTGAAATGCCTCCTAGGACATTTTAAAAAATAAAATTTCTATATTTAAAAAAAGAAGTTTCTTGATTCTTTTAAGAGCAGAAGAGAAGAAAAGGTGACAAAGGAGAGAGCATATAGGTAAAGCATAATATTTTGCAGCATACCAACATGGCTATTCGGGCAACACTGATAATTTTACTATACAGAATCACAATAGTGAAGATAAATGTGCAAAACCACTAAAACTTCCCAGTAAGCTAGTTACTATAAGGCAGTCTATTTACAAGACCGAACATCACCTAAACCCCATCTAATCTGTTAACACAAGCAGTAAAGCACATGTATCCCTGGTGCTATTTAGGAATAGAGTAACTTTTCCCATCTTGAATTGCAATGCTGCATGCAGTTTAATCACAACTTTGTGAAAAGACACTTATTTGCCAAGAAAACCAAACACTCATCGCCTTAAGAAGGCACAGTAACGTAAGTGCTAAAAAACTTATCAGTATATTTAACAAATAAATAAAATCACAACTATGTTAAAACAGTTATGTTTTATGTTACTATCCAAAGTTCAGTGGACTTCTCAAATTTACATGGAAACTGTAAGGGTTTAAGTTTGTCAACATCATTTGCTATCAAGAAAAACGCTCACTGTGCAGTCCCCATCACATTTAAATATGTTTAGTAAACAATTCCGATACATCATTCATTCACCTCAGCATAATATTCTTCAAAGACAAATACAAATTTTCAGGCTCACAGGATGGCATGCTTGTGCCCATGTCAGGATGACAACAACTGAGGATACCATTCTATTGCAAAGACAGCAATTTGCATGGAACTGATACAGTAAATAAAATAGAAGGGGGAGGTCCAAGATGACTTACCTTTTTCTCTGTCACACTGTCAATTATCTGTGCAGTTACAGAATGTCCAACGTGAGCAGATAACAAGGCAGCCGCATTATTCTCAGACTGAATGCAAGCTGCACGCATTTGCTGCCACCAGGGGGAAACTGACTGAGTGTCCCATGACTCATCTATAGCAACTGTGGAGAAAGGGAGAGCGGGGAACTCAACTTGGGTCATTGGGTGTTGTTAAAACTAGCAAAGCAGCAACCAGTCCTGAAAACAGCACTTATTAATCCAGCTTGCATTGGGAGCAATTCCAATTACTCTACATCGTCTTTTTCTAGATATGTAGCATATGATTTCTAGAGTATAACTCCAATGTAAAATAAAAAGCAGAATGTGAATACCTACAAGTTTCATTTGTAGGAAACAGGCAATACACATCACTAGGCAGTGAAGCCTGCTGCACGCTTACTAGATCTAAGGAAAATTACAAAATGACACCTCACAACGCAGACAGCTTCTTTTGTCA